CTGCCCGCCGATGGGAAGTGGTGAATGAATTCCTTGGTTTGCTTTGCTTGCGTGCGCAGGTTTTGCTTTCCCTATTAAGCTGTCTTTATCTCAACCCACGAGTTTTCTCAGTTTTACCTTTCCGATTCTCTCCCCCATCCCACTGTGGGGGGAGTGAGAGGCTGGGTGGGGTGAGTGGCTGGCTGGGGTTAAACCATGACACTGGCTCACAGTCAGCTTGCTGTCCACCAGGACCACCATTAAAGGTTTAAGAAAGTAAAATGTTAAGTTTTTTAAAAGCTACCTTCAACTTGAACTTGCCTATACACTCATTTTAAAAAACTAGCTAGAAGGAAGATTTTAAGATTAAGTAGACAGACGATGAGATGTCTGCTGCCAGTTGCAGAAGACTTTCTACATGACCTTGAAGGGAAAGAAAAAACCCATATAAAAAAAAAACACCTTCTGTGTCTCAGTTCCCACCCATAATGTGGAAAAAGCAAATAGTTGTGACATACAAAGAAAATACAAGATTGAGGTCTCTAGATCAGCAATCGTGTCTCCCACCATGCACATGTGCAGTGCATGGCACAAGGAGAAAGAAAGGAGCGGAGACATTCATCTTGGTTGCAGCCTCCAAGCCAAACTGTAATGTAAAAGGTAGGAATTGGTGGGAAGATTTGAAACAAGGTACAAATCCTTGGAGCAAGGATTCTGCATTCTTCTACACTGGGAAAGCAGCCAGCAACCTATACTGGAACAGGAATCACAATAAATTTACTTCATTCTTAAAATGCATTTCAGAAATTGTAACGTTTCTCAGAAATTAAAATAGTAACAGTCACAGAATTAAAACCTAACATTTAACTCGTGTGTGTGTGGGTACATATATATATTCTTATTCTGATCTTACTGTTCTTTATATATTCCTGTTTTTCAGCTGAAAAACAGAAAAGGCATGTATTTTCATATTTCATAGTATTTAAGAAGCTGGGAATTCAGCTCTCAACTTGGATCAAATCTCAGATCAAATCTCAGATCAAATGCCCTTGGGTTTTTGGCTGGGAGATGGAAGGAGGAAGAGGTTAAAGAATTGGGATGTAAAGGGGAACGAAATAATCCACATCCTTATTCATGTGGAATAGTTTGGGGTTGGGGGTTTGTTTTTGCTTAAACGCCGAGAACACTGGCCCTTGTTGGAACAACCTGAGTCATATTTCGCTGCACAGAAGAGCCCGAATAGCGTGTACAAGTTTGGAATGAATCATCGGTGTATTGAATCACCAATGCAAAAGATACATTCTTTAGCTAGACCGCATCGATAAAAACAAACACTACCATGCTCCTGAATGCACTGGGAAGAAGAGACCGAGCTCAGGGATGCAGAAGGCAAGCCGAATATCAACCTGTTGTTTGAATTAATATTTATCAGTTCAGCAGCATGGGAGAAAGGGGAAGAAACCGGGAGGGACTGACACTGAGGAGCAAATACAGTGCAAGTGTTACACGCTGAGAAGGAGGAAAGGGGTTCTCAGGATTAATTTGCTCTCCTGATAAGAGCTACTCTTCATTTCTGCTCCTTTGCTTTTAAAACAGATGCTGTTCTCACACTATGGCAACATAAATGACATCTTCATACCCTTTTTTTATCTGAAGCTTTTGGGATGCTCTCTTCAGCTTGTTAATTACACACGAAATCCCTTCTTGTACAACCTATTCCCATACTGTCAGAACACCATGCTATAGCCCACAGTAATCCTTGGACTGAAGACAAAAACAGCACCACCAACATTCATAGCTCAAGCGTATCCCGAAAGTAGCATACTCAGCAGCATTGAGCCCTTCAGCCATCTCCAGCCCCTCAAAGAAAAAAGGACCTCATACCACACCAGTGCCCATTAGCACATACGTTCAGCCTTGACTCGGAGAAGTTAACACCACCGTATGCTCAGTTCCCGTACAGGAATGGTCGTAAGCCAACAACCTCATTAAGAAAGAACCTTGCGCTGTCTCCCACAGCACTCTAGGTGCACCATCAGGTCTCAAAGACCACGGTTGGTTGGTTGGTTGGTTGGTTAAACATTAATTTTATTCTCTAATGCCAGTGATTTTATTCCAGAGAATGAATACTTCTTTTGACAACCAATTTACTCCTCCATGGAGCACAACACATGGGGATCTCCCCTTCTTTGTGAAGGCAAGTAGGCAGATCCCCGTTGTGTTCATTTCTTTCCCTTGAGCACTGCCCAGCAGCGCAGGTTTATATCAGCGTAACTTTGCTTTGAAACACTCATCCGTTTTCAAACCAAGGCATTTAGTTGCCTAACACCCACTGCTGGGTGGAAATACATGGCTAAGTTCTAGGAACTTCTAGGAACACTTTAAAGTCACACTGTAATAACCAGTGTGACTGGTCAGCAGCTATTGCTGCTGAGTCAAAAGGTTGGAGCACAAAGGCCAAAAACAAGGTACAGAGGTCCTACCAAAAAAAGTAGCTTTTCCTTCTGAATGCATTTCCCAGAGACAAAACAGCTAACTTTTCAGAGAGTACGGACTGAAGGGAGAACATTCTCCCAATTTTTAAGACCTCAGTTTAATACAAAATCTAATAAGCACTTAATATTCTGTACACATTTGGGTGTGTAGGAGGACTAAGGTTAAGTTCATGCATTAGAAAGCTATGCGCTTTGCTTGCCTAATACTAAGAACCTGTTGGGACTACACAGTTGCCAGAGTCCAAGTGCCTTAAAATGGAAAGCAATTTTAGAGCAGAAAGAAGTGATAATATCGTATGATACAGCTGAGCTCAATTCATCTGCCAGCCCTTGCCCTCACATGAGCAACATTTTCAGCTGCTTAGAACCCAGCAGGGGCTGTATTTGATGAACCATAAGGCATCACTACTTAAGAACAATCTCCCAATCAAACTGATGTTTAAAAGATATATTGCACTTTCCTTACACAATAATAGAATGCAGACGTGCACTCTACTGCGGGCAACAGCATGCAATCGATACTGTATTTGATTTTACAGTGAAAGCACACATAATCCTGTCTACACAAAGTCAGGCTTAGAACCTACCCAGCACGATTATATGCAAGGCCCAGACAGATTTCCTTATCCTGTATAACTTCGGTGACTGGGATACTGAAATATCTTAGGGCTACTCGCAAACATGTGAGCAGAATCTTCAACTCCTAAAATCAGCATAGGACTGGAGAAATAGATGGACACATGGCAGTTCATTCCAACTGAGAATCTCAAGTAGCCTCAGTTGTCCTAACTGTGCAGTTGGAAAAAACTCTTGTAAACCAACTTTCCTACTACTACTTTCTTGCTTACCTTCATCCTACCAGAAATAGGAAGACTGCAAGCATATATCCAAACACATATCCAGTGCTGAAAGGCTGTCTCTAGTTACTTCGGCAGAGCTCTCATATCATGGCACTGTGATTTCTAGCCCTACTTGCATCACTTGTTGAAGCCAAGCCCTTAACAAAACATCATTTCATACTCGAGTCAGACTTGAGTTTTGGGGAAAACATACAATTCTTCTTGTCCTCTATTGTGTTCCCGATACCAAAGATTGTAAGGTCAGCTTGAAAGAGGATATTAAAATCACAGACTATGTTCCAAATGCTTTTTTGATGTTAAAATCTGAAACACTAGTGCCCTCTTTTCTGCCTAAAGCTGCACAACCACTCTAATCAACCTTCACAGTGGTAAACCTCCTATCCCCAGGCAGAGAAGTATGTTCACGTAACGGCCAAACACCAAATTTATCTGTGTGTTTATCTGTGCCTCAAACATAACCTGAAGGTGGGAATTACTGTATTTCACACAGTAACCCTGGGGAGCAACACACTTTTATTGCATCTTCATTAAGTAGATCATAACCCGACTAAAGAACTCGGCATGTGGAGAAGCGACCAACTGTTATAGTAACAGCACAGATGGACGCTGCTGTTCAGCACTCAGCTCAGCACGGAGTGCAGGTCACCTGTTCATTAAACTGGAAGCAACCCGAAGGGCCGTGTAACACTTAGGAGACAGTAATTAATAACTACAGTTAGGTGACAAACAAATATCAGGGCATATTGGAGAAATTAACACATTAAAAACAGACAACAGAAAGAATAAGGGAGATGTGACCTGCTGAGCAGCACAGTAACTGGGATGAACAGCTGGATCAGTGACCTCCTCTGTAACCGGACAAATTACTTACAGCCCAAATTCCTCTGCCCTGCTTATTTTTCCAAAGCTATAAATTTTTGTGTCATTTTACTGAATGCATGCACAATGTTTAGCTCAGAGATTTAAACCTCATTCAAACCTTCCAGGCACTACCACAATACTGATACATTGAAATTAAAATAACATAACCAAAATCCCCTAGAATATCACATTTAGCTGTCTTTGAAGAAGTTGTTTTGGCTATTTAGTGACAGTACTAAAACTCAATGCTTCGGCAGAACTCTATTAACTGTGTAACACAGACAAAAGTGTGCTTCCACGCTCCTACCAACAGCAAGCTGGCTGTTACGTTTAACCTTATGTTGTGGGACCATTTTTTAAATTTTTTTTTAAACAAGGATTAGACCTTGGGTCTTACTGGTTTCAACAAAAGGTAAGCAGGTAAATGTTTTTAGAAGTCCAGCCTTATTTTGCGAGGTTTTACAGCATTATTTCAGAGCCCTCCATCAGATTCAGTAATACTTAAGAGGCAAGGAAGAGAAACAACAGAGGGAAAGAAAAGATGACACAACATGTTACTAACATTAAAGATTTCATGTTTAAACCACCTTTTCAGCCCTGCACACCTTTGTGGACTTCACTCTAATTTTTAAAATAGATTATTTAATAACAGGATGTTACAGATATAATGAAAAACTAAGCCTTTGCTTCCATGTAATTTGAGATTCAAGACACTTCTAAAAATCAGGATCCATGTACCAACTACCCTGCTACTGTGCTCACTGTACCAAACAACATATGCATACAGACACATGAGCCAACATACCCAGGACACCACTCTTCCATTGAAGCAAGGTAGCTTTGCATTGTCATCCGAGATCTCCTCCTTTACCACCCTGGAAAAAAAAAATAGGAAAAAAAAATATCAAGAGTTTGAAATTACATGAGATCAGAAGGGACAGTGGTTTTCTTAAATGGTCCAGGAAAAATACAAATTTTTCCTAAAATGTTGGTATCAGCAAGTCTTCTATGTTTAAAGAATACGTGGCTATTAGAACAAAGGAAGCAAGTACAAATAAAGGGTGCAATAGTACCTATCCAGACAACCATCCCACACTGGTAGGCACAAAAGTAATTACAAGCGTTTTTCCCGCTTTGGAGTCTTCCATCTCACCACAATTTTTAAAGATCTGATGGTGATTAAAATCCCACTGTGCTATGCAGTCTGTGTGTCAGAGATCAGAGATCACAAGTTAAGGCCACTCTGTCGGCAAAGAAAGGACTATTAGCTCAGTTTCCTAGACTGGATTTGGAGCCAAAACACAGCAGCTTCCCCCGAAGGCACTGAAGGAGTTGTGGTCAAGCTTCCTATTGAACCCCTATCTCCTGTACATCAGACGAGCGTCTCAACCTTCTTCATTAACTCAAGCTCTCTTCCCACTCTTGCTAGCCACACGCCCCTCTTGCTCCCCATACCTCCCTCCTTTCACTCCCAGACGGTTTCACAATGGCTAGCAAGGCCGAGCGAGGCCTGGCCCGTCAGGGGAAGAGCTGACATGGTCAAACACAGAGGCGCAGCGGTGGCTCTGACTTCCCTCCCCTAGCCCATTCTTTTTAAACCGATGCAATGCCAATATAGCATTCGGCTAGGAGCCATTCTGAAGGCTTCTTGATAAAAAGCTGAATCCAGAACTCAAACCTTTATAATTAAGGAGAATAAAATCACCCATTTGTTTTACCAGCATAAGGGTTTTCATAAGGTTTTCCATTCTGAAGACACTTACTGTGACTCAGTATCTCAGAATCAGCATTTGTTTCAATAGTTTAAGATTGGTCATAGCCAAATATAAATGACACAACTACTGAGAAAACAGAAACCCTCCCATTTCATTAGACTTAATTCCAAGCTTCCAATTCAGCAGCAACTGAAGTTACTTCAGATGTTTCTGTTCTTCTAACTAGCCCAGTAACCAACGTGGCCCCCATTTAACAACCTCGTATTCATGAAATTAGCCAGTCATAACCATATATATATATATTTATAGCTATAAAAAGATATTCTGACTTCTTCAAACAATTCAGCGCTCACTCATCCTCTTCGAAAGTAAAGTAATCACATTTTAAGTCAGCAAGATCTTTATCAAGTCTGGCAGAGGCAAAGCGAGCCTCCAGTTCTCCTGTAGCTCCTGGACTAAGTAGCCTGCACAGCTAAAGGCACTCCAGGAGGCCTCCCTAAGTCCCGTCCAGGACCTGGAAACAACGGCGCTGCTGACTACACCAGGGTCACTTCATTCGGAATCATCCGGATGAAAAGAGCAGGTTCAAAACCAACTGGTGGTTCAGTACTACTGGGAGTAATTAGTTGCTGCCTTGAAGCACTCTTCGCAACAAGCCCCCGGTGAGCCAGCTTCTCGCTCTACAAACCAATTACAAATGTCATCTTTCAGCAGGGCGCTTTAAACCATATTTTTTAGGACTGCTGCTTTAAGCTGGAGAGTTCCAATTTAAAGCAGCAAAGCCTGAGATTAAGAAAACCCTGCATTTGCATCAGCTTCCTTAACAAACCTCCCTCATTTATACAAGGCCATGATCTCTCAGAAGTGGTTTTTGTCTTTAGAGAAGAAATAGGCATTGCTGGTGGCTTCTGAAGAGACCATAAGATGAGAAATTTTAGAAGAATCACCATTTCGGAAACCAGCCTGAGTGGTGCTTCATTTTTCAACCTGTGCTTTATTACTTAATTTAAAATCAGAACCATTGAACTCTGCTAATTCTGAAATCCTGACTATAGGATTTGGTAAAACAGCTGGGCTGCTTCATTGTTCAAGTTCAGTAGTTTCAGCGCAAGATGACGCAGCCCTGAATCAGTGCTGATGGATTCTCTTTTGTCAATGATGACCCACAAGACAGGACAGAAAAGGTCCATGTCATCTATTACAACACTTTGGTCCGGTTGTCTCTAGTCAGGAGACACAGATGAAACACAGGGCAGTTAGCTCCCCATTTGGTTTCTCCGATGAAGGGTAAGAATAACATCACTCTTCAAAACAGGAGCCCACAGAGTCACCGTTTTACAGGACTCCCTTCTCATACCCTCACTCCCACAATAGGACATGAATCACTTCTGCCTAGAAAGCAGACCTTAAGAACAAGCTTCCTTTCAAGCCTTTTTTTTTTTTTGGAATCTGCAAATTGGAGCAAACTCTAAACCCAGCATCTGGCAGAAGCAAGGCAGCCCCAGGCAGGGCAGCACAGAGAATCCCACGCTACACCACAATTGTTCAAGTTCAGTAGTTTCAGCGCAAGATGACGCAGCCCTGAATCAGTGCTGATGGATTCTCTTTTGTCAATGATGACCCACAAGACAGGACAGAAAAGGTCCATGTCATCTATTACAACACTTTGGTCCGGTTGTCTCTAGTCAGGAGACACAGATGAAACACAGGGCAGTTAGCTCCCCATTTGGTTTCTCCGATGAAGGGTAAGAATAACATCACTCTTCAAAACAGGAGCCCACAGAGTCACCGTTTTACAGGACTCCCTTCTCATACCCTCACTCCCACAATAGGACATGAATCACTTCTGCCTAGAAAGCAGACCTTAAGAACAAGCTTCCTTTCAAGCCTTTTTTTTTTTTTGGAATCTGCAAATTGGAGCAACTCTAAACCCAGCATCTGGCAGAAGCAAGGCAGCCCCAGGCAGGGCAGCACAGAGAATCCCACGCTACACCACACACCCTGTACAGCAATTATTGAAACCCGAAGCCCTACGCAACCATCTCTACAGATGCTCCTGCTGCCTTCCTTGTAGCAAGATTCTTGTGGATTCTTCTAATCCTACAAGCAAGGGCTCAAGTAGGGCTGAAATGCAAGCATTCCAATGCAGGACTTGTCAAATTCCCCTTTCAGGCAGCCTCATGTACAGAAATAGTGCCACACAACACAGCAAGCTTGCAGGACATTTCAATCCATTTTAGTCTCTTCTCTACTTCAACAGGGTAGTCCAGCACAGAGTTTACCTGAACTCACTGAATCCATAGTACTTTATTTATCAGAGTTACAGGAATAGCATCAACGTTCACAAACCCATGGCTTCCTTTAAAGGCAGAGCTCTCCTCTTCCATTTCTGCCTAGATCCAAATAAACTAAGGCTGTATGACAGCCGAGACCCACTGAGTACTTCTGCTAAGTCCTGGGAGTCACTTGGCCAAGAAGGGGCTTGTTTCATGATTCTGAAGAGCTAGGGATATTCACGAAGTTGGCTGCCCAGGTCAGGGAGAATTAGCTGGGTTTTTGGTTGGTTTGGGTTTTTTTTTTTTACTATACAGCTTGAAGGAACTGTAACTAATGGAAAGTCAGTGAACTGCAAAAACACGAGGTTTGCTCTTAAATACAAGGCTTTACTACTACATGTTGATGTGAATACTCAAGACATTCTTTTTGTTACCTAAGGGCTCCAACCAAAATTAGGAACTGTTGAAGAAGGCACTGTACACAGAGGAAAGCTCTTCAGAGTGGGGACTGTCTAAGTACGGGCAGAGAGGAGATACGGCGGTGTGCTCGTCCCAAGTCAAACAGTAGATTCATAGCAGAAATAGATTTCTGGCATCAAGTCCCTACACAGCGGAACAGGGACAACTTGCTTTGGACAATCTCTAAGCTTTATAAAAGCCAACCTGAAGTCTAGTCAAACTCAATAAAAATTTGTGGTTCCACAACCACATTTTCCTTTATTTATGTTTTTGTCTTTCTTGTTGCTGTGTAAAAGAAACCACAACAGCCACAAAGCAACTGACTATGCATGAAACAGTGTCGTATTATGAGGGGGAAAAAAACTGGTTAGGAAGGAGAAGAGAGGAGAGCAAACGGGCAAAGAGTTTCTTTCCATCTTACTTTTGGAAAATTAGGAATAAATAACACCACCACTAATACCTCCATTTGCACATTTTAATCCATTTTTAAAGGAGGAAAAAACGTTCTCTTCGTTCTCCACATATGTTTGCATTGTTAATGGCTAGCAGTACAATATTAGGCAGACTTCACCCCTGCCCTATTATTGGAAAGAAAAACATTTTAAAATATTCATTTAACTCCTAATGCATCTGTCCTCCCTTCACCTTTTGGCAACAGGAAACAGATCATATGATTTCATTGTTGTTTTTAGTCATTTATACCTAGACTCTAAAGAGACAATTAAGAATAAAATCCACAGAAATCAACAAATACGCAGTGCTTTAAAAACCTCTGTCGATTCAATGAAGCTCTCAGACCTGTAATTCTGGAGCTGCAAATGCTGCGTGCAGACAGAGGGTTTCAACATTTGAATGGATCTCCAGCCCCAGTGGACCGACTCGAATTCAGACATTATCTTTTGTGTTTCACAGAGTCCTGGAGAGAACACTCACCCAGCAAAGATCCAATTGCAGGATCAGCAAATAAAGATGCTGCAATAATTTTATCTTGGCAGCCACATGTTTTAAATGACAGTATCTCCACACGCACACACCCCCCGCCCAAGGAAACGCCACTTACTGCATCCCATAAATCACATGCAGAAGTTCTGCATCAAGCTCTAAGATTTAGGCAAAAGTCAAGGACTAAAAAAACATACTGATTGTGAGGTTCTCTCCAGAGAAAAGGCTTGGGGGTCTTTCTAAAATTGACACCTACGGTGGCAGTCAGGACATCCCTGCAATACTGCACAGACTGGTTCAGTTGTCCTCGTGATAGGAATGAGCACACCGAAATCACCACTTACAAAACAACGCGCACTATCACAGCATTAGCCTTCTGCTGCAGCTAAAGGGAACAACTTCCAGATCTGTTGCAACTTGAACTACTAAATATAGCCTTGAGCTATGAGGCAAGAGAATGACAGACTCCAATTCCCAGCTTGC